TCGTGGTTAAAGCGTTCGCTCGTCACGCCGAAGACCCGGGTTCGATTCCCAACATGGGTACAATGTGTGAAGCCCATTTCTGGTGTCCCCCGACGTGATATTGCTGGAATATTGCTAAAAGCGGCGTAAAACCATACTCACTCACTGCACAAGCATTATTGACTTTAGTTATTCTCCTATCTTGAAATTCTTCTGAGATTTGACTGATTTGTTTATTTAGAAAATGGCATTGAAGCGTATGTGTCTGATTTTGAAAGTTCTTGCAAACACCTCTGGTTACTGAACCAATGACATGTCCTAAAATCAATAAATATGATTTCTTAATCTAAACAAATTCTTTGTTTTGCTTCATTAGCATAAATAAATATAATAGTGATCAGCCATAACATAGGTGCTGAACATGTCAAATATACTTATGCCCTGAATGTTTTCCTACAAATAATACAGCTCATTGAACAAAGGCTTTAGTTCCATGTCAGTCGAATGTACCGGTGCTTTATCAGGTGTTTTCTATGGGTGCCATTAGTCTTATGCAGCTATTAGGGGCAATTATATTCTGTTCCAAACTTCAATGAAGTAGATGTAACAACTACTGGTACCGTTCCAAAATAATCTTTTAATCTCACCAGGAACAAAGGCCCAAGTGAGCATATAGCCAGTGGCTAACATTATTTACTAGAAAAAAGACATCTCGAAACATTGCATCCGGATACCTGCCGGAACCTTCAGCAATGTTCAATTTTAGTTAGTTTCAAATATATGTTTAGGTGTTTCACACTTTCCGTATTCGACGTAATAAGCGCAAAGGGGGCTCTCAAAATTAGAAATAGGGAGCTCTTATTAGAATGGTATTTTGGTGGGAAAAAACCAGGTGAAAGATATAAATTTCGTGGTTTATGCTGACAGCCTGAAATGTTTATATACGACAGATATATTTTTCCAGAATTTAATTGCACATAATTAAGGATGCATATAACACACGAGTGCGTATTATACACGAATAAATAAGTCTTGTGTACATTGATCAATCGGAAGGGGTGCTAATTGGGATTGTTCACTAGCCAATATATTAACAAATATCGCCATGGGCGCTTATTAGAGCGGGGCGCTTATTAGGTCGAAATACGGTAATTGAACAAAATGCACTGCCCAACACAACACATAGCAACATCACTATAATAAATCATCTTATATCCTCTTTTCACTGATACAAATGAATATGGTTTTGCTGATAGCAAGACAATGTTTTCGGCATTATTACCTGACTTCATTGTTCCTGCATTCTGACCTCCTAGAGACAGATTGACATAGGAAGAGTCTTGTACGATGATGCCTTTAAAGTCAGGACCTGGAACGAGTGTACAGAGAGTTAGTGAGTCCAAGTGAGGCTTATCGTGACTTAGTTGTTGCCTGATTTAAAGTGTATTTTTCTTGTGATATCAGGTTTATACATATTAACATTCTACTCACCTGCAGTAATTTTTGTTGATACTGCCTGTCTCTCTCTTCTCTCGGAAACAGCCATGGCACCATTCCCAGACCGGGCCTGACGCTCCACTACTTCTGTTGCTGCTACCATGTCCATAGAGAAAGTCTCTCCACCATGTGTACCTCGAGGAACCACTACATCATACGATGCCGGGTTGTCCATTGTGAAAGTCTCACCACCATGTGTACCTTGAGGAACGACACTAACATCATCGTCATGGCTAGTCTGCTGTAGCACTACGTCAGATGATGATGGATTGTCCATTGTCAAAGTCTCGTCACCTTGTGTTCCTTTTGGAACGACACTAACATCATCGTCATGGCTAGTCTGCTGTAGCACTACGTCAGATGATGATGGAGTGTCCATTGTCGAAGTCTCGTCACCTTGTGTTCCTTGAGGAACGACACTAACACCAGCGTCGTGGCCAGTCTTCTGTAGCACTACGTCAGATGATGATGGATTGTCCATTGTCTCATCACCATGTGCTCCTTGAGCAGTGTCATGACCACCATCTGCCCTTGTGGGAAGACCGATGCTCGCTTCCAGGTTCAGGGTATCCATCAATCCGGGAAGTCTCCCGTGGACGTGTTCCAAGTCTTCAGCTCCATCCTGTCTGTCACATGTCTCACTTTCCCTGTGATGATGTTCAGGATCTGTCTCCCTCTCAGGCTGCTTCTCCGACATTTCTGAAAAAAGAAAGTTTAAAAAAATTCATCCACTAGAGAAGGTTTAGGTGATACCTCTACCGTGTTCAAATTTGACCTTGATTCGCGGATATGAGGATACAAGTTCACCCAAATTCGTGGTTAAAATGTCCGATTTCATTTTGTATACTCACTGATCATCTAATTCATCTATTCAACTTTCAGAAAATGATGAAGATTCCTCTCGTGACTGAAAATAGCGACCACCACCGAGCAGCGATCTCTATTTCTGGGTTCAAGCAGACCTTATAATCTATTTCCTGGGTCCCAATGCGCGTCGTCAGCTTTCTCCAAGCTCGGAGCCGGCCTGCCTTCAATTGTCCGAGGCGCTTTCTGAGCGCTCACTTATTCGCTCTCCGCGGACGTTCGTGTGCAATCGAACGATGTGTCAACTTCCGCCGGCAGAGGGCGTGGTTTTCATAATGGCGTTGCAGAATGATTTTAGCAATACTGTTGAACATTGTGTATGTAAAGTATTATTGTTTAGAATAAGTTTTCGATAAACTTACCGTTAGTTAGATGGTCACCGATCAGACAACAAAACTCTATCCGTCGGACATAAATCATGTAATCCTACCGACTTGTTTAACATTGGAAAATCAAAATATAGAGTGTGATTGTGTTGATTCGCCGCTGATTGCGTACAGCCAACTGTCAGTGACACTTGACATGGAGTGAGATTTCTCAGTTCACTATACACGTCACTAATTGGTGGTATTTGGGCTTGTCGGTGATCAGATATCAGTTCGCTATATCCGTTAGTTCGCTGTAGAGATTTCGTTATGTACGTAAATTTTATATGATAATATAGAGGAGATAAATCGGGGATTTTGTAACAGTTCGTTATATCCGTTTGTTCGTTATATCCGTATTCGCTATGTGTCCTACAGTATTTGCAAACGTACTGGGGTAAATAAAATGGGTGCAGGCTAAAACGGCACCTCAGCAAAACGTCACCGATTTCTCCGGCGAAAACGGCACCGCATTTGGCGAAAACGGCTACTATGTGTCGGGCGAAAACGGAACCTCTATGTTTAATAACGATAAACAACGATTTTTGTAGTAATATATAGGGTTTATTTACATGGTATTTGATGTATTGAGTACATCTGAAGCCGTAATGTGAATTTCCGATAGGTTTGGTACTCTCATTTCTTCAGCATCTTCTGACTGGAAACTGACATGAAAGTTACCGATCAGCATTTTGATTTTTTTTCTGTCATTCTTCTCGCATGCAACACGTCGAAAGGCCATTGTGAATAATTGTGATCTGACAGCACCATGTTAGGCCTCAAATACAGTTTCAGCTTAAATTGAGTAAAGGTACTTAAAACTTCAAAGCGTATAGTGAATAAAAGTCGGTGATTAAATTGGAGCAGGGGGCTAATTTCTTATTTGTTTTATTTCACAATTATTTGTGTTGTTAATTTCTATTATCTTTCGTCAAAGCATGTTATGTTTTCACCATAAGTTGAGTTGCGTATAAGCTAAGTTGGATTATAGTTGGAGCAGAGGCTAATTTCTAATGTAAACTTGTTTTAACATCTCACAATTATTGGCCTTTGCAAGTTACAATGTAAGTTTAATATCATTCATTTGACCAAGGTAAAAAAAAATAAGGTGCCGTTTTCGCTCGAGTCGAGGTGCCGTTTTCGCTTGAGTCGAGGTGCCGTTTTCGCCAATCGGTGCCGTTTTCGCCCGGTGACGTTTTGCTGAGGTGCCGTTTTCGCTATAACCCAAATAAAATAAAGTCGGATTGGAACGTTAAGTGAATAAGGATTTCTGGTTCTGCATGTATATCTTATATCTTATCCACAAGTTAACTTTCCACTAAACAATGATCACATATCATTTGACTTGACAACATATCTTGTTCCCTTAGCAATCCATAAATCAATGATGAGTTAGAATTCATCAGCTCAAAAATGTTCCAAGTATTTTGGAAATCCTTAAACCCAATATCCCTATGGTTCTCTATTTGATTTCGGAAATTCCCCTAAAATGTGGATGCCATACTATTCTAAAATCATACAGAAAATTCCTATAAAATACTTTAAAAATCAGAATGTGTATTTGACATTCATTCCGTCTTACTACATATGCTCTTGAAATGGATCGGACGTAATTATTGACTATTCCATACTATAAATAAATAATGAAATAATATACTCTCGAAGTACTGTGTGTGTGTGTGTGTGTGTGTGTGTGTGTGTGTGTGTGTGTGTGTGTGTGTGTGTGTGTGTGTGTGTGTGTGTGTGATAAAACTAATGAATCACTAGATTTGCCGATGTCGGGGAGAACTTCAAATAAGACCTATAAGAAAACCTGTATTGAAGCTATCAGCTTATAATCGAAGATGTGGATTCTAAGAACCCAAATGAAATCTTATTTCTTAAAACTGCATTCCATGTATTTTATTTACCAGTTATTTACCCACTAATGGGTAAAAACTTAATGGTATAAATGGTATCCTCTCCTGAGGTCCAACTACAATATGCCTTTAATACACTGGAATTAGCATTTTGCTGTCAGGATCCCAGAAGTGTATCGAAGGTGCATTTCGAGATACGTATTTCAGAAATAGATTGTTTTATCATAACCTCGTCGGCATATAGGAACAGTGTGACAGTACATTCAATGACATAAGCTATCGTAAATGAACCGCATTACATGAAACACATCAGTGTACTTTTACAAAATTGCTCAGTCAATGCGTGGCTTGGCGAACTCAAGATCAAGATTGAGATCATGTTTATTTCACGTTTCATAGTGGTGTTTGCTGCACAACGCACTATCCAGCTGAAAAAGGACACTTTTTTTCTGCTATGATTTTCATTTTAACATATTACGATGTAAATTAAATTATTTCACAAAATAGTTCGTGTGTCAAAATAAATATTCAGAAGGGGCGATAACTCTATTCAGTGTGTACAATGACAGATGGTACTTTACTTGTTCTTCAAACATCACTTACTTAACTGATTATTGCCGATTGAGATTGCACCGTGCACGACAAAAGTAATAGTGTGTGAACTGTTTAAAATAAGTTAAAAGAAAATTAATAATTGATAAATATAAATAATGCATGAAATTGAAGAAATATAAGAATTGATACAACCACCAACTTCTTGAACACCCTCACCTAATCCTGTATGATGATAGGTAATTGTATATCAAAAGGAAGCTACTAATACAATTATCCTGAATAGTTTGAAAATATCTTGTTCAGATATGAGTACAGATAAAATAACAAAAGATAAAAAGGAATCAACTTCAATTGGTAATCATGCCAAGATAAAATATATATATCGGTAACAAATTATGTTGATGGAACAATCTGGATTTCTCATATTTAACAAAGAAAAACAAACCGAAATTTGTATGTCTTTATTTCTCACAATATAAGTTTTCAAAACTTAACATGGACCGGGTGTCTTTGTCAGTCAAAAGCACCTAATTAAATTCCAGGAGAAAATATTTTTCTTGTTTGTAAACAAATGGTACAATGTGCCTTTTTAGTGTCTGATAAATATTGGCCATGTTGGTTTGTGAGTGAATAAGGCGTTTGACTTCCTCGTCCTATTTAAGCGAAACGTGACAGGAAGCACATTTGTTGATTGAATGAATATGGCTTTTCACATCCTCGTCCTTTGACAGGACGCACATTGTAACCAGTGTGTTACTGTCAGTAGAAAGCTCCTCCAGACATCCATCACCGGCTACTAGTACTTCATTGTGTTGACTCGCTGGCCTGAAATGAATAATTCAATAATATTGTAATAATATTTCTACTTCAATAACATTTTTTATAAACAATGCATATTCACCTTCTCTCAAAATATGTACAATTTGCTGGAAAGTGAAGACAGTGTGCATCTCATAAATATCCTAATATTATACATTTTAGTGTTGAATATAGATTTAACAATATTAATGATTAACAGTTTGGAAACAATAATATGCTAGCTACTGAATCTGTTAGTCGTTTCAATAAATTTGTGTACAGAAAAGAATATTTTTGTATTCAAGAAAACATCTAAGTTTGGATGACCAATAAGAATACTATGTAGAAGTTTTTGTCCTCCAAGATTATCGATGGCTGTCAGTAGTGTCTCCCTAAAATCATCATATAAGGTATTTTCGAAGAAGAAATGGAATGAATTTTCACAAGGAGCATGCTATACAAGGAGCATGAGATAAATTCATGCTATCATCGTTATTTGACAAGGAAAGCAAATTTCTTCTATGTATTTATATAAAAAAAATTATTTCTCGTTTTGATTGAATTATCAAAATTATCAAATTATCACACCACTTGACTTGATTGAAATAAACTAAAGTTCTAAAGATTGTTAACAATAGTAAAATATTACATCATAACAATATAATTATTGCAAAATGACACAGTAAGCACAACTATATTCTCACATATAAATTGATATGATTAATAATCAATAATACAGGGCAATTGCTTGCACAAAAGAAATCTTTTTGTTTTAAAAGTTTCAAAACATGTTTGTGGACATAAAACTAGATGGGTTTCACAATTAAACAAACGGAATAAATTAGTTTTGATTGCAATACGCATGGGAAATAATTCTGTTTATACTTTAAGTTTATAGTAATGTCAATTTCAATTTATGCATTTGAAATATTTGAATACAAACTGTTAAAGAGTTATCTGTTAGTTAGATTGAACATTTACTGGCCATAAAGTAGTTGTGTTTTTGTTCATTTCATGACATGATTAATTTGGTACAGTAAAGTAAATATAATTTTGTTACCAAAATTGCAGATCAAACTGTACTTTACTTCAAATAGTTACACACCCTTTATGTAATAATTCAGTTGAAATATTACACCTCATGCTATCTAATCTGTCAACATTGACAATCAAAATAACAACTGTTCACAATCACAACAGCACAAGTAGATCTAGAGGTCTAATATTTTATTGGAATGCATTTGAGCCCATTACAATTTACATCAAATACGCAACTGATGCAAAATTCTGATTTGTTACTATTGTAAATTCTCAGTAGGTTACAATTTGATACATTATATCAACATATCAATTTAGTTAGTTTCTGACATATATCTAGATATGGTCAAAAGGTCAATATTTCGACTTAAAACACAACCCGCAAAGTTATTTAAACTCACAATAAATAGTTTGGCTTAATGGTGTGTAAACAATGAATTATTCTTTACAAGATCTCAGTAGCATTTGTATTAAGTTTGCTCAGCTACCATAAACTGCACTGGGAGTTACCAGGTAGTCATGGATATTTTAAATCGAAATCACAA